CCCCATGACCACCATGGGTCATTTCTTAAGACATATTTTTATTTTTTTCTTAAAAACAAATGAATATTTATTAAATATACTTATTAACTTTTAAAATATGCTTTATGCTTTAATTATTAAAAAAAAATAATACAAAAATTTTTATATTTATATGCACTTTTAAGAATTTGAATTTTTGTGACTCATGGTGCCCCGGTCTCCCCTACATTTATTTCCACTTGAAAGTTTTTTAGACTGTTGATTCGATGTCAAAATTAACAAATTCAAAATGATGAGTTCAATGGGGGTGATCCCGATTGATCACGGCTCGACCACCAATCACAGCGACCGGTGCTTAGGAGCTTTGTAGTCTCAAGCGCTGTGAGTGGCTCGTGTCCAATTGAGCCGTGTCCAACTGGGTGCCACCCGTTCAATGTAGTGGATATCAATACTTGGAAAATATCCAAGGTACCTATCATGGAACACGTGAGAATGAATTTCGATGCGAATTATCCGTTTTTCTTAGAAAATACAATAGAAATTTAGGAAATAATTAAATAATTCCAATTTTTTTATTTTATTTATAATGAAAGCCTTTGTTGATCATATTGTAGTTATACGCGAACATTAACATGCGTTTATAAATACTTCTTTCTTTGAATTCATAAGAAGACAATTTGGCGTGTATAATTGTAGATTATTAAAGAAATTCATTAAAATTACTAAGTTATATAGTGAAGATGAACCAGATAGATGGTCGAAAACGTTTTATAGATATATTACTTTTGAAATAAAAAATAATTAGGCAAAAATATCCAGCACGAGGCTTATATGCTCATATTTACGATTTTCATTGTAAATAATTCCAATCGGAATCCATTTCGACTTGTTCCATGATAGATGCCCAGATTCTTCCAAAATATACAGATTTTTCACGATTTTAAATTTGTCAATTTTGATATTGGATTCGTATATAGCGGTTTAAAAAAATTGATAATTATTCGGATTAACGGACACGGCGTCGAAGACTTTGACCTTGACATATGTTTTCAAGGTTATAATCCTGAGTGACCTTCAAACAGTTTTAGATGGCGATCACTGTTCGTTCAAAAGTTATTAAAATGTAAAGTTTAAAAAAATAATGTCTTATTTTTGCTATATACTAACGAGCATACGATTTTCCATGCGAAGCGAGTTATATCCCATCTTCCCCTCTCCCCTCTCTTTCCTTGTTATGAGGTCTACGATTCTCCACGCAAAGCGAAGTTCACTCCACCTTCCCCCCTCTGTCTAGAAAGTCGATCGCTCCTTGACTGGAGGAAGTGGGATAGACTTCGTTTCGCGTTGAAAGTCGATCGCCTCTAAGCAAGGGGGAAGATGGGGTGACCTCGCTTCGCGTGGAAAGTCGAACACTTTTAAATAAAGGAAGAGGTGAGATGGATTTTGTTTCGTATGGAAAATTGTGCGCCCCCAGGCAGGAGGAGAGGTAGAGTGGACCTCTTTTCGCGTGGAAAGTCGAATGCTCCTAGACAGGAAGGGTATAGAGTAGTTTTTAATATTGTATATAGATATAAGATAGAAATAATATATTTTTGAAACTTTATTTGTTAATAATTTTTGAACGAATAGTGACCGTTGCTTAAAACTTTTTGAAGATCACTCAGGATCATGACCTTGACAACATATGTCAAGGTCATCGGCGCGGTATCCGTTAATCCGAATAATTACCGAAAAATTTTTTAATTAAACATAATTTAAGCTGTCATTAACACAGGATTCTCTTTTCCACATTAGACTCCATATTTAACACTTGAACACCACACTGGGTTACGGTAACCCAGTCCGTTTGAAAAAACACGCGGCGTTTATGAACGGTCAGAAGTGTGGAGTAGGAGCAATGAGGGGAAAAAACTTTAACTTAAGGGTTTAAGCTTAGACGATTACAAGAACAATATGAATATTATTTTATCTGATAAAGACGCTTATGTAAAGGTTAATAAAGACCCAACTAAATGACGGATTTGCGCTCGATACTTACGAGATGGAAAAACAAAGATTACATAGATCAGAACACATACAAAAAATTATATAAATCCGACGGAGATTTGTCAAGGATCTATGGGTTGTCTAAAATTCATAAAGTTGACAATCTATTGAGATTAATTGTAAGTTGTATTAATAGTCCTATTTATTCATTAGCAACATATATTAAAGACAGGAAAAGTTTTAGTTACGTTAAGGATAGTTTCGAACTGGTGAATAATCTCAATGGTATGCCACTAGAACCTAATTATAAAATTGTGTCTTTTGACGTAGTATCGATGTATACGAACATACCCTTGGATTTAGTCATTATGAGTTTGAAAAAACGGTGGCGTTTCATATGTAATAACACAAAAATTCCTTAAATGAGTTAGTAATTGCAGTATCTTTTATTTTTAATTCAACTTGTTTTAAATTTGATGACACAATCTACAAGCAAATTTTCGGCATGCCTATCTTCGTTATCTCTTACTATTGCAAACATTGTATTAAATGATCTGGAGATTGATATTTTCACATCCATAACCACATTTATTCCGGTTTACTATCGTTATGTCGATGATATCGTAACAGCTGCACCAGAAGATCAAATCAACGCAATTCTAGACAAATTTAATAATTGTCACAATAGAATTAAATTCACAGTGGATTATGGGGATGATGGGGACATCAATTTTCTCGATGTTAAATTGTTAATTAAGGATTAAAAAATCATGTTTGATATTTACAGAAAATCGACTAACTGAGGAAGATATTTGAATTTCCTTTCTAACCATCCTGTAGATCATAAAAGGGCAATTATAATGGGTCAATTCGATTGGATATTATTTTTGTCATCTTCATTTCCATGAAAAAAACATTAAGAACATGATTAAGATATTAATTGATAACAATTACGCTTTGGATTTTATTTTTGCCACAATAAACAGTAGAATTAAGTCACTCTCATATAAATATAATACCGATGAAAAAAATAGACATGATAATAATATAGGTAATAATCATAATTCAAAAAGTTTTTTTACAATTTCTTATTATAATATAATATCTGAAAAATTTAAACGTTTATCTTACAAATTTGAATTTAATATTGCGTACAAACCTATGAATAAACTAAATAAATTCATTAAAACAGGAAAAGACGCGTTAAAAAAAGAAGATAACAGCAACGTAGTATATAAGATAAACTGCCTTGATTGTGATTCCTCTTATGTGGGGCAAACTAAAAGAAAACTTAAAACCCGAATCAAAGAACACAAAGCAGATATTAATAAACCAACTGATCTACTATTTGTCGTATCATGCCATCGATTAAATAAAGATCATGTCTTAGATCGGGAGAATATTTCAATCTTGGATTCAGAACCATCATACTACAAGAGATCCATTTCTGAAATGATACATATAAAAAAACAAAAATCAGGATTAAATAAGCAAAGTGATACTGATCGACTACCAAAATCGTACTTGCCCCTACTTAACGAATGATCCCCTTCCAAAAACTTCCTTCCTATTCCTTTAATGTTCCTCTTCTTGATTGTGTGTGTGTTCTTGAGAATATAAATACCGAAGGACAGAACACAAAATAACACAAAAATTCTTTTAACAAGTAATGTTCTGGAAAGTTTCTTCCATCCTCAATAATTCAGAAAATATAAAGATTGTAAAACTACCAGTGAATAATTGCAACTCCTATCACATACAAGTAAAGGTACGTTAAGCAATCGTAGTCACTAATTGTAATTATGTTTTTTTAAAATAATTTATATATATTTAATTGTAAATTCTTATCAGAACTTTGGAATTCTTTACGACACGGAGTCTTGCAATGTCTTGAAAACGGACAAATACTAACAGTCACACAAAAATCAACTATTTTACAAGAACTTTTTACGATACATTATACTTTTTATATTAAATGACCATCATATATTACAACATGACTGAGATTTATTCTCATTTAAATAGAAAAATTTTAATTTATATAATTTCCAACGTAAAAATTGTACTGAAGAACATACTGATGAAGGCCGAATATCGGCCGAAACGTTTATGAATTTTAATTTTGTAAGATCTTTTTAAATACACTACTACATCGCAATAAATAACCGGCGTTGTGCTCCTTGTTTAACTTTTGTTTGTAAGTATTACGCCATTATTTACCTCTGTATTGGAAAAAACTTTTTTTGCATTGATGCATTAGATCCCGGGATAAAAGCAAAAGAAGACTCCAAGGTTACCGTAATCCATGTGTGATGAAATCATGTGGCGAAAATAGTGTGGTATTCAAGGGTTAACAATACCAAATTTGCAACCGCACTCACGAGCGTGGTGCAACTTCGTCGCGCATTCGCAGTTAATACTCTATAATCTCCGATATTTTTAAACTGAGAATTCGTCCGGTCTTAGAAGAAACCGAAATTTCCTCCTTGTCCGAATGCTTAGGTACACAGCAAAAGATCTCAAAACCGATAGTTGGGCGCCAGGCACGAACGAGCGTGCCACTCTTATTCAAAATTAATCCGATTATTTTCCACACGATATTTTATTAAACTGCAAACGTCGACGGTCCTCTCAACCGGCAGCTCAGCCTCGAAAATGGCAGAGGGGGCGGTTTATGGTCGAGTACAGAGGATCGTTGGAGATTTTATTAACTACAGCCGATACTAAAAAGTCCTTTTAAGAATTGAGAGTCCTAATGTATGCTTATTTTCAATTGCAATAAACTTCTCCAGCACATGTTGTATATTGTTCTCTTACATATTATAGCTATAATAACAATATGTATAAAAATAACTCTTTTTGTAACTTTAAATGTAAATTTTTCAAAATTTCGATGGAAAATTTGGAAGCCGGATTCGTATTCAGCGCAAAAAAAAACTACGGAAAATGACTAGTCTCGTTTTGATGATTTTGTTTTTGTCGAACAGTGTTATTTTGATGCTTATAGATTTTATGTAAGGGCAAATTTTTTCCAGATTGAAATATATTTGTCTTATATTTAAAGAACTCGTATTCTCAAGGCCATTATCACTTTGTTATGTTTCATTAGCGAACTTTATAATGGTTTTTAGTAAATGCGATATATTTGTATCAAAACTTTGTACAAGTTCACGTAAGTATGTCTGATATGTTTAACAAAAAAGTTTGTCTTTTTGAACATTAATTATCATTATTTTAATAGCGTTAATGACAATAAAAAGATGGAAAGGAGTTTTACATTTTACACCAGGTATGTTATATTATTTCGAAGTAATCTGAAAATTTATGCATTTCTGTATAATAATGTATTTTATTTTTTAAATGACATTCTTAACGATAAATGTTTTTGTGTTTTAGATGCTTGTGTCTTACAAATTCTTATGGCACAAATGGAGCATTTTTATTCGGACTTTCTTACTACAATAAATATGACGCATGCATTAATATCATCTATATGGCACGTCTTACAGAAAAATAATTTATTAAGAAGTGAAAGTTCAGAATCCTGTAATTGTTATACGAAATTATTACGATTTATAATTAATATGTTAAAAAAATGTTCTGAAAACAAATTAGACGTAATCGATGATATTAAATGGCAAGATTTATTTAAAAAAAAGAAAACATTTTATATCTTGAAGAGAATTAATTATAAACATCATGCATGTCAGGTGAAATATAATAAACAGAATATAAAAGAGCATCTGACAGAAATATATTCAGAAAAGTTGGATCGTAATTTTTTGTTTGATATCAAAAAAGTTCAATACAAAGTATTGAGACAAGGCATCAGATTTTTATGCCATCTTGCAATTTGTGATCCTGATTTTGTTATCCGATCATCTGATATTGAAGATTCATTTCATTTATTTGTACGAAACATTATTTTTTTTGAAGATTTGATACTTCATGACAATGAACGTAAATATTATAATGCATTTCATATTGTATTATTTGCTTTTCATGCAAGTACCATTTTTATTTATGTTTTAGGAGAAGCTTTAGATCGTATAAAAACTACCTTTATCGTTGATAAAGGTATACAATATGAGACACATCACGAAAATATACAGGTTAATCAATTACATATGACGAATTTTGAAAAAAAGGTTATTCCCACAACTGAGAAATATTGTTATACTGAATCTACTGAAAATTATAATACAGCATGCATGGCTATCAAATCGTTGTATAATTCTAATATGGAATATAGAAACAATTAAATATACTAAATTCTAACAAAAGTGCATTTTAATATTCATATAAATATATATCTATATAATGTGCATGGTTGAAAGATATTTTATTTTAAGATATGTATTTGCAGAACAAATATTTATAATACATTGATATAATTATAAAGTTGGAAATGCTTAAAAAATCTATATATATGTCCATGATATAAATAGATTCATACTTATATTTCATTATTTAACATATATCTTGACTGAATCATTGCTGCTTTTTAACAATTATAGATTTTAGAAAATACAGTAAAATAACTGTTTTATATATTTTTATTTTTGAAAATAAAAAATTATTTTATTACATTAAAACAATTTCTAGTATACTATTCGATAAGAAGATATATAATTAATCATTCATTAATTTCAACACCGGCAAGATATTATTAAAGACTGTTGATCTTATAGACATTCGCGAACCTGTTAAAATTTTTAGTGATTAAAAATAAAAAATTGATAATTACTAATTTTATGATTTATTAGTTTCATAAACATCTATATATATTTAAAACTCAATAATACTCGATTTTTATTTAAAACTGAGATAAATATCCTGTTTAGGGGAGCCCTCTTCAACAGACATGGGAGCTATTCACCTTTCTCACTTCTTACTTTTTTAGAAACATCTCACTTTTTCTCACTTTTCTACAAAAACTCACTTTTCTCACTTTTTTGTGTAGTGTAAATTACTGTCCATAAATTTAGGAACGCTTGCAATTGTCTCGCATTTTACAAAAACTTAAATACCTCGATGAAAAAAAATTGTGGAAAAATTAAAAAAACAATATAAAGACAAAAATAGAGCTTCAAAATGGCGTTTGAGTTTTATATGTGACATTTTTTTTCTGAAATACATAAAATGGAAAATTAATTTCAATATTTTGTAACAATAAGGGTTACGAGCCAGATTTCAATATATTTAAATTTTTTAACGAACGTTTCGACCTTATTGTCAGCTCATCCTCAGTGTATACAATATAGAAAATTAAACGCAAAAATGAATAGATTCATATAATTGTTGGATACAAATTCAAAATTATAGTTACGTTAACATGGTGGTCGTATTTCTTCATGTATTTTATGCCGCAATATAATGCTCTCTCTCTTGTAATTTTTCTTAGTTACCACTCCTCTATTGTATCAGTTACAATATATCAATGTTAATAATAAAAATAGTTGAAAATGTTGTCAGTCGATAAACTAGTAAGTAGTATATGGGAAGCTTCGGCCGGTCAAAATAAACCCCTTCCACTCCCTCTCGGCGTCAAAACAAACCCCCTCAACTCCACCTCCAGACAGGTGGACGTGGCCTAGACGGGTCTGTCTGGAGAAATGGTGCACTCTGATTGGCCGGTGTCGTGAGAGTGGGATAACGAGGTAATTAAATGTCGCGTTTTGATTGGCTCGGTCCATAGCTGCCCACACGCTGATTGGCTCTGTCCATAGCTCCCCGCGCAACTATTGGAGAGGGCGGGGGTGTCGGCAGAGAAAAATACCACGGTAAAATGGTGGATGGCAAAAACCGAGGAAAAATGGAACCGAGAACTTTGTTCGTTACGGGGGGGAGGGGGGGAGGGGGGAAGTTACGGTCAGCGAACATGAATAGCAGACAGCTTTTGTCCTGCAGGCCATTTTTTTTTGCTGCAGCGATTCGATGTCTCCAACGTGTTGGCGTCTTAGTGAAAGGGTTTTTTTCTTATTATTTATGACGAAGACTTTTACGAGAATTTTCGAGAGACTTGCTTTCAATATAGGGAGAAAGGGGAGGTAAAACAGGAATGAACAAGTTCGCGCTGGCACGTGCCGCCATAATCGGTGTGCTGATTCGAACATTATTTTTAAAAGAAAAATTTTTCTATATTTTGTTTTTAATGAACATTATCTAAATCGGAAATACGTGAGAAAAAGGTGACAAATGTAAAAGGGGACGAGGTTAAAAGTAAGAAATGGACGAAATTTACATGATCAAAAACGTTTATTTTAAAAAGAAAAAATGGTATTACATAAAATATTCATTTTATGTTTTACTTTTTAAAAGAGTAGACGATTGTCTATTCATCGTTCTAGTCTCCATAAGGCAAAATGAATCTTTCGAGCCTACGAGTCTCATTCTAACTTCCACTCCGTTAATTAAAAATTTATCTTGATTAAAAACGTCGCAGTGAAGGTGACCTAGGAGATCTAGCGCACGATTTCCTTGAATGTTTTCGCGCGTCTCTCGACTGTCGTATTTGGATTTGACAAGTCTAATGTGTCGTCCATGTAGCCGGGAATATCCGCGTCCCATAAGCACGAGGTTAGATGGGAAGTTTTTGCGGGTGAAGCATAATTTAATAACGCCTCGATGTACGCGCGGCAAGCGTAAGCGTTGTTTGGTGGCGACACGAGTTTTTGATTGAAATATACGTCGATTTAGTTGAACATGGAATGCAGTAAATGATTTACGGGCCCTACTTTTGCCACGTCGGCGGCTGCGACCGATGTGCTCTCCCCGCGTTCGCTTTCTACGCGTATGCGAAGGCTCAACATGGTGTGAGTGAGATCCAGATAGTCTTCTCCATGGCCGGGTATGACGAATTCTATGGGTGAGTCGTCCGTGAGCGAAGTTACGGGTTTATAATAAATTCATTGCGAACTCTTGATGCTGGTTTGCGTAGGTGGTAGAGAGAAGAAATCGAGTTCGCTCTTTATACACTCGCTTGAGTGGGTATGAAGAAAGGACATGCTTTTTCTCCAGTCACGAATTCCTATCTCGATTAAGAGAATATGTCGGATACGTCGCGTTTCTTGACTCGATGTTTCCTAGTGGATGGTTTTTTGGTTTTTCTTCCTGCAGCGCGAATTTTCTTTTTCTTCTTCGTCATTTTTTTGCTCTTCTTCCCTGTGCTACTTTTCTATGATTTTCTTTTGACTGCCCGACGTAGTTTACGAAGCGCGATACGACTATTCCGACTTCCGAATGGAAACTGAATGCTGCGGACTTTGCGGATATTTTATATCCCGACCCCTTCATCAGGGAACTTATATTTTCTTTGGCTTTTTTCTTCAGATTACCCCTAGATTCCGCGAGCCGACTTTTGACCGCTTCCTTCAACGGCTTATTATTTTTGACGTCTTCTATTGCGTTAATTCCCGCACGTAAAGCTTCTTTTCCGACAGCACGTGCACCCCTTTACCTAGGTAAGGTGATATTTTTCTGAATAGTCCACCGAGAAAGCTTCCTACGAAAGAAAGTTATTGCTTACGTTTAAAGTGCAGCGTTACTGTCAGCGTTCCGAATTCGAATGGAATTTTTTTTCCAAGATCTCATATCTATTTCGATCGTTCTGAAATTCGTTCGTCGCAATGGGATATAATTTGGAAATGAGAAATGCTTCACCAAATTTGCACCAAATGCGTAATTATGACTGCGTATCTCGACCGGAACTATCCTGAGAAGAGGAGGACGTGCATCATCTATTATGTAAGGCTCACAAATATCGCAATAAATAAACATTTTATCGGGGATACCGCGCCACAAACTATAGGGTTCGTTACTCCAATAACTCTGCAAGTCGTTCTCCCGTCTCCTTATCAAATCCGTTAGTAAAAAAAGTTTTCTCTTCTGTTTCATTGGAATTAGGTTTACGTATCGCGAGCTTAGAATAAAATGGGTGATTTGCGGAAAGTGCTGATGAGAAACCTAGTATTCTTAGAAGTTGATCGGAAAAATTTATATGATGTAGCATTTTGCATTTCTCAACGCAGTTATTACTTATCATGACTTTGCCGCCAGACGCTTTTTTCAGTTCAAAATAAAAATGCGATTCGACAAGTTTACACGCGGTATTAATCGCATCAATAAGCTCATAGATATCGCTGTAAATTTCATTTGGAAATGTACTTTCTTTCGCCGTAAACGCACCTTTCGTCCTCTCATCGGGTTTAACATCGACGAATCTGATCACATTTTCGTTATGACGTATGTGTAAAAAGGTACAGGGAAATTGAATCTCGGTTATCGCAACCTCCCATTGTCCGTGTAACACGATAGAGTGAGGTAATTCCGTGATGAAGGACGAAGTTGTATTATCCGGAAAATGACGCATACTGCTGTTACTCGGAAGTACCAGAAGAAATTGTTCCTCCTCCATCGCGAAGAGAAATTAAACTCGAAGCCGGAATCCAACTATCAAACTTACTGGGATAACCGCGCCAACTAACAAGCACTTGCTTATTAGCTCCTCGTCCTCTATTCTTTATTACGCGATCGACGATAAACTCTTCTTCCTCTACGTTTTTCTCAACTCGAGCTAATTCTTGCTCATAAAAAATACCGTCTATGACTTCGCCTGCTAAATCTCGCAATTCGTACACGTGAGGGTTTCGCCAATCGAGAACACGGTAAATTTGAAATATCTCCTCGCTCCACTTAGCCTCGTATCCTTTCTCGAAGGCACCTTTCGCTCTACTGATACGAACGTGATCTCCGACGCGATATTTAACCTTTCGCACCCGTTTCTTTAACGTTTCGTTTTTCCAACGACGAGCTATATTTTCACGAGCGATACGTGCGTTTTCTCTCGTTACTACCGCAGGTTGCATTCTCGTGGATGAGTGACGCGTGTGATTGTAAGCGTGTACAATGTCCTGCAGAACATCGATGTAGCGTCGCGTATTTTTATGCGTAAAATAACGCCACATTCGTTCCTTCAGTGTTCTGTTGAAGCGCTCGACGATGGCGGCTTTGACGTTTGGATTGCGCGTTTCCCGAAAACGAATGTTGTTTTCTTTAAGAAATTTCTGCATTGATTGTGCGACAAATTCTTTACCCTTGTCCGTTTGCAGGTATACGGGTACTCGTCCTTCGCTTTTCGCTAGTACGCGTTGAAAAGCTTTTATCGCGCAGTTACTCGTTTTGTCGCGTAACGGTTCTACCCATACGTATTTACTTAGTACATCGATAATCACTAACAGATAGGAATATCCGTCATTGTAACTTTTTAGAT